TTTGGCCAGTAAAAGAATCCTGGCTGGCTGGGGAATTCTGGGAGTTGAAGTCCACACATCTACAAGTTGCCAAGGTTGAGAAACACTGCTCTAAACTTTTCTGTCATTTGGTTTGCTTTGGTTTAGCAGTTCACTTGGTTTATTAACATGAGTGAGCTAAGAGTTGAGGATGTTATGTATACCAGTCATTTGTTGTTTTTCAATCAATCTTGATTAAACTCAATGTGTGAACTTAGCCATTATGTATATTTCAGTTGCTTGTCCTGTCCAAATGAGGTTGCAAAAGGAAACCTGTTTTTTTGGAAGTGAAACTTATTTTGAATAAGCATGGCTAGGACTGGGCTACCAAACTCTTCTTTTCTGTAGCCTCATAGGTGTTTTCTAGGTGTGTCTCTTCTAGCAGTTGTGCTTTGATTAATGAATAAGGACAATGTGGAGTTGATTATATTAAGAGAACCAATTGACTTCAAAGAGAGAAGAATGATCAGCTTTTGGACAAGTAAATATAGGGTTAAAGACAGAAGTTAACCAACTAAGGGCCAACTTTTCTAATAAATTTTAGACCGTCAGTGTATTATTTTTATTCAGGTGAGTGAAGAATATTCAGCTGTGCATTTTTTTTCTCTTTTATTCCGGAAAAAACTGGACTATGGAGGCAGATAATTGGGATTTAACTTGGTTTGTTTGTTTTCCCAACTTGGATTTTAGCATGGCTTTTAAATCAGTGCAGCTTGTTCTGTGCTGTGTTTTAAAGGATAAAAAAGTAATTGGTTTATCAGAAAGGGCAAAAGCTTAAAGAGCCAGATACTCTGTAAAGGTTATAAATCAGAAGGAAGATGACTAGGCATTTAAATAAATTTGAGCTGACATTCCTTTAAAAAAAAAAAAATTGAAAAAAGAGTGAAAGAGCTGCTCCTTTAAGCAAGAAGTTTAAAAAAGTGATTTGCCTACGTGGATTTAATATAACCAGATATGACTATGCTTCATTGGAGGTATTTATTGTGATTTATTTGTTAGAGTTATCTCCCATCTTTAAATCAGGAGCTTAAGGGCTCCTCCTCCCATATTTCTCCACAACAAAAACCCTGTGAGATAGGTTGGGCCAAAGTTACTCAGTGAGCTATCTGTGGCTGAAGAAATTTAGGTCCTCCCAGTCAATGTCTTAAATACTACACCATGCTGGCTCTCAAGTAAGCTGCACATTAGGGATTATTCTCAAAAAAATATGTATAGTAGTGTTTTACATACTTATCAATATAGGCCTTGCACCAACACCATGAAATAGATTGTTATTAGTCACATACTGTTGATGGCCAATAGCAATTCCTTGAGGAGCATTACGTTTGCTCATGACAAATAGCAGATTTTGGTCTACAATTTCATCCCAGTCTCTTAATCACTGTGCTAAATTTGTGCCTTAGTGAAAAAAACTACAGGAATGCATGCATTTGTCAGGAAACTTAAGTAAATATCTATATGCCTAAGCAAATATATATTGAAATGATCTCTTAATGCTTTGGTCCTAATCTTTTTAGGGTGAGAGAACTAATATAATTTTACAGAAAATTGAAATGGAAACAAAAGAGAATAAATTACTCCACATCATCCATTAAGTTCATGGCTTTGTAGAGAGTCTAGATTCCAAGTTTCCATAAAACTATGTTAGTTTTTAATTATATCTTAATATTTCCAAAAAATACATGAATATTTATTACTTGTGTACAGTTCAGTTACATCTATGTTCATATCATACTGTACAATTGATTTATTTACATTTAAGTCAGTTTGCCAAACTTCAGAAGAATGATAAAACAGGAAATTAAGTGTATCAAGAAGTATCAGCAGACCAAATTCTAAATAGTCCTCCAGTTGGAACTCTTGGTGATAGATTGCCTGTTCAAATAAAGGGAGAGGTAAGTTTTTCAAGCATTGTATCACTGACAGTGAATGAATATGAATGAAAATGTAATTCAAAAAGGCGTAAAGCCTTGTGCTCTGCTGTTTGGAGGGTAAGAATTTTATGGTTGGCCACACCTGTTTTGCAAGAGTGCCCATAATATGATCTCAAAATTCCAGATGTGACCACTCCCCCTGAAAGGTTAGAAGCCCCAGATTAAGGCAGTGCTCTGGTATGAGGTAGATTAAAAAGTATTTTAAGAATATCAATAAATACTTTTTGCTTTTAAGGAACAATACTGAACATTCCCTTAAAAGAGCATAAGGAACAGTGAACTCAGTGGGATTTGTATCGAAATAAATATATTGACAACGATGTTCCATAGATAAAACTGAAACTATTGTTAATAGTTTCAGAAATTATTTTCTAAAAATAATGTTTCAGAAAACATGAAGGGTAAAATTATATATCTAAAACATTCAGGATAATCCAACAACATTTAATGGCTCCTGGGATAACTAACTGGAAGATTATTAGAAGTATCGTTGGAAATAAGCAATAGGCACAGATTAATGTTATGGATATCACATTGCCTGTAGCAGCAGAAGAATGAGGTTGAATAGTGGAATATTCACAGTCTGTATGTAACTGCTTTTATCTTTCCCAGTTCTTACCTGTTTATAAGAGCTCTCTGATAGAAGTGAAATACTGTATTTAAGATGGTTAAAAATGGTGTCATTACAGAGAAATATTTCCACTTGCCAAGTAAAATGTTAGTTTAAAGTTTAAGCATACATCTGTTCACTATAATCTGAAAAAAAAAAACTAGTGACTTTGCAATAAATTGGCCTATTATTTCCTCAGATACCAATTTATTGCTGCAATTTTGGGCAATGTGTTTTTTTACTGTTCTCTAGTGGGTAATATAAACTTTCAAGCCTTCACACTTCTGGAAATTTGCCTTGGGTGCAGAAACATTTAGTATTTGCTGTGACAAAACTATGAAATAGAATAAGGCTGTTGTCGTATTCTATTGGCCTGGAAGGATTTGGTGACATTTTAAATATGAACCTTTTTTAATTCACTTGTAATCCTACTGGTTTCACTGGGACTTACTCCTAAGTAATTTGGCATAAGACTGTTGTTTACTACTTTTGAGGCCTATCTGGATTCACAAACTTTTGCTCTTTCTTACCATTCTATTAATATACGTGCTTCATTCATCTTCCTTAAATTTCTGAGAAAACAACATTTGACATACATTTAAAGGAATAGAGCAACTTCATTTTTTTAAAAATCAAGCTTGATTTTAAAATTGCTTGATTTAAAACATTAGCCATAATATGAATGACTTTGCATTTATTTTCTTCCTCACTCTGCTCAAAAGGAAAACTAGTTAATTCTCCTTAGTTTTTCCTTTGAAGTTCTAGGATGAGTAGAAAGGTGGGATGTAAAACATTAACCTGGTTTCTGTATTGATGATGTTCATTGGACATCAACCTGCCTTGCTTTACTATACAAAAACAAGTTATATCTCAGCAGTAGAGCATTTGTTTACTGATAGAAGCTCCTAGGTAGGGCTGGGGAAAAATTCTTTCCTGAAATCTTGAAGAGAGAGGCTGTTTTTCATACCGCATGCAAAACCATGGTTTGCTTAATCTTGGTGTACTGAATATAGTTGAATTGGCTGGGTTTACACATGATAACCATCAGGCCACATGACCAAGTAGTGCAATGTGTGAATCCAGTCCTACTGTCTCTTTCTTTAGGCAGTATTGAACGAAATGGATCAATGGCCTGGCTTGTATAAGAATAAGCTAGTATGTGAAGTGGTGGAGACATTGGATGGTTACTAGAGACACCCAGGTTCAAGTCCACCATCAGCCATGGAAGCTCACTGGGTGATTCTGAGCCAGTCACTCTTAGCCCAACCTACCCACCAGTGTTATTGTTGTTGTGGGGGGAAATTGGAGGAAGAAGCTGTGTGCCTTGAGCTACTGAAGAAAAAGCAGGATGTAAATCAAATAGATGAAAAAATGGAAGCTTTCTGTTGTGCAGAGGGCAAGAGCAGGCCTGACTTCAGAGTCTGGCATACCAAAAAACTGCTAGTGAAATGGGTTCTCCAGAATGTTGATTAGAGCGGTTTGAGCTTCCCCCCCCCCCCCCGTTGGGGGTTTCTTGGTGGTCCTTGGCCAGCATTGAAAGCCCATTGTTTTGATTTATTCACAGTCATTCTGGAACAGTAGGGTAGCAGGAGTCTGATTCCCCTTCCATCCTCTGGGAGCTGATTTGAGAATAACAAGAGAATCCTAAATGTATCCATTCAGAAATCCTATTGAATTAATTTTGGACTGTAAATGAGAGTGATGCAGATTGTGATATCTGTGTCAGTGTATATGAGATGGGCGGATATATAAATACTAGGAAGAAAGGGAGGGAGGGAGGACGAGAGAGAGAGAGAGAGAGAGAGAGAGAG